TCTTAGAATTTCCAAAGTGATGTCTGTGAACCCAAAATATCGGAGACAAGTCTTAGTCAATTTAGAAAGTTTATTTTGCCAAGGCTAAGGACACACCCGTGACACAGCCTCAGGAGGTCCTGACACGTACCCAAGGTGGTCGGGGCACAGCTAGGTTCTATACGGTTTTGGGAGACATGAGACATCAGCCAGTATATGTGAGATGTACATTGGTTTGGTCCGGAAAGGTGGAACAACTCAAAGTGAGGGAGGGGCCTTCCAGGTCATAGGTAGATAAGAGACAAACAGTTGCATTCCTTGAGTCTCTGATTAGCCTTTCACTGAATACACAGTTTACATGTGAGAGGAGGGTAGAGGAGTAGTCACGTATGCCTTAGTCTGGCTTAGTGAAATAGGGCAGAGGAAGCAATCAGATACGTGTTTGTCTCATGAATTCTGTGTGTCCTTTGTCCATAAAGGATTTCCTTGTGGGCAAACTGTGAGGGAGGTATGTGGTTAGTAATAAAATGGGAGGCAGGTTTGCCTGAAGCAGTTCCCATCTTGACTTCCCCTTGGCTTAGTGATTTTGGGGTCCAGAGTTTTTGTTGTTGTTTTTGAGACAGAGTTACCCAGGCTCTGTCACCCAGGCTGCAGTGCAGTGGCGTGATCTTGGCTCACTGCAACCTTTGCCTCCCAGGTTCAAGCGATTCTCCTACCTCAGGCTCCCAAGTAGCTGAGATTACAGGCATGTGCTAATTTTTGTACTTTTAATGGAGACGGGGTTTCCCCATTTTGGCCAAGGTGGTCTTGAACTACTGACCTCAAGTGATCTGCCCACCTCAGCCTCCCGAAGTGCTGGGATTACAGGCGTGAGCCACCATGCCCTTTTCTTTTACATGTCTTTTGTATGCTAATGAGATGGCTGGTGGCTGGTAGCCCCTGGGTAGCTTCAGGATGGGGTTGGTCACCAGAAAGACCGAGGCAGGACTAGACGGTTGGGACTTTCAGCTCCACCCTCCAACCTCCGGGGAGGGGAGAAAGACTGAAGGTTAAGTCGATCACCAAGGGCCAGTAATTTAATCTTGCCTGTGTCATGAAGCCACCATAAATACTCAGAAGGACAGGGTTTGAAGAGCTTCTGGATAGCTGAACACGTGGAGTTCCTGGAGGGTTCCCAAGGAAGGCATGGAAGCGCCACACCACCTCACACATACCTTGTATTTCTACACGTTTCTTCCTCTGTATTACTCAGAATAGCCTTCATCATCAACCAGTAAATGTCAGTATTTGCCTGAGTTCTGTGAGCCGCTTTAGCAAATTATTAATAATTGAACCCAAAAGGGGACTGTGGGAACCCCAGCTTAAAGCCAGTCAGTCACGTGTTCCTGAAGTCCGGACTTGCATCTGAACGTGAGGCAGTCTTGGGGGCTGAGCCCTCAAGCTCTAGGATCTGATTGTATCCCCAGGAACACAGTGTCAGAATTGAGTTGGAGGACACCCAGCTGGGGGTGTGGGGAAAATTCCTCACACATGTGGTCATGGAAGTCTTCTGTATTGATTGCTGTGGTGTGAGAGCAGAGGAAAAACGGTTTGTGTTTTTTCCATTTTTAGGATAATGTCCCCCGCCCCCAAGATCCTTAACTTCATCACATCTGCAGAGTTCCTTTTGCTATGTAAGGTGCCATATTCATGGATTCTGAAGATCAGGATGTCCATATCTTCTTTGTGGGGGCCATAACTCTGGTCTGCCACAGTCACTAATGCCCCAGGGCCCTCGTCCCCCGACCCCATTCCCAGGCAGATGAAGTCAGGTATCCCCCTTAGCCTGACGTGGCCGGCGTGGCACACAGTGCTAATTAGAGGCCCCTCCTGGACCATGGCTCACCCGCATGGGACCCCACCCCTTCTTGCCCGGTGAGTGTTGCTGGAAAAGAGGGTCCCAATGCAGACCATGAGAGAGGTTTGTTGGATCTTGCACAGGAAGGAATTCAAGGTGAGTCACAGAGCACGGTGAAAGAAGCAAGTTTATTGGAAACTACTCTGTTACAGAGTAGGGTGTTCTCAGAAAGCAGGAGAAGGAATGGGAAACTGTAAGCAGCTATCATTAAACCTGGAATGTGCAGATGAGCTCACTAAAGGTAGGGGCTATTTGTGCTATCAATGACCATTCATCCTTCAACCAAAGCCTGGTCATTGATGTTATCTCTGAGTAAAGTGGGCTGCACTCTCAGGACACCTGGACATTCTGCAGGCTTGGTGGGAGATGTTCTGTGTGTCCATAAACTTTCTGTAATTATAATAGGTGGTCAACTCAGGAAGTGGCTATTTTCAGACTGTAAGCATGAACCTTATAGCGGGGGCCTTGTGAACGTCTAGCTACTCACTTTAAGACAGAGTCACCCTGGTCATGTTTTATTAAACCAGAGGCCTGGTAACCAGGGATCCCTCTCACAAGAGCTCTAACAAGAGGTGGGGGTTACCTCTTATTGGCTTATGTTTCGGAGTCTGCAGGGCCACCTCCCAGGTTCCAGCATTCTCGAGAGCCTCCCAGGACCCAGCCGGTAGTCATGCTCACACCTTGGGCCAGGGAATGGCCACGGCAGAACTGTGTCTCTGGGATGGGGTTTCAGCACACTGAGGATTTGGTTGAGTTAGTCAACAAGTGTTTCTTGAGCACCTGCTCTATGCTAGGTTGGTTCTCAGCCCTGGGAGGAGAGCGGCGAACAAAACGAAGTCTCCGCTTTCCATCCCAGATCACTGTGTGTGTGTAGGGAGGTGGGAGGTACTACCCACATAAACACCCACATAAACAAGCTGTTTTCGGAAAGTGGTAAGTGTTGTGTGGAAAATGGGGCAATACAATACTAGAGCATGGGGCAGCACTGCCTCGCAGAAACATAATGTGAGGCATATAATTTTACATTTGCCAGTAGCTACATTGGAAAGGGTAAAAAGCAACACATTTATCATTAGAGTTAATTTTGTTTTGTTTTGCTTTGTTTTTGAGACAGGGTCTCACTCTGCTACCCAGGCTGGACTGCAGTGGCATGATCTTTGCCCACTGCAACCTCTGCCTCCCAGGCTCGAGCAATCCTCCTATCTCAGCCTCCCAAGTCGCTGTATTTTTAGTAGAGACGGGGTTTCACCTTGTTAGCCAGGATGGTCTCAATCTCCTGACCCCGTGATCCACCCACCTCGGCCTCCCAAAGTGCTGGGATTACAGGCCTGAGCACCCAGCCTATCATTGTTCTTTATATGGACTTGCTTTCCCTACTGGAATGTAAGGTGCCTGGGAGCCGGCACTCTTCCACTGTAACTCACTGCTGTCTCCCCACTACCTGAGACAGCTGGACACCTAGTAGGTGCTCAGTAAATACTTGTCAAATGGATGGCCAGAGGTCTGTACAGTCCTTATTTGCCTCCTGATGAAGAACCTGCTGCAATCTTAGGCACAAAAAGTGTTGGCCGTGCCCCTCCCTGACCGTGAGAGGGTGAGGGGGACAGAAATGCGCCAGGTGTTCTGACATCTGTGTGTGCGTCTGGGTGTGTGTGTGCCTCCAGGCTAGGGGGCTGTGTGCTCTGGCACTGCCCAAAAGACCCAGTTGGCCTCATGACCTGTCTTCTCCCCACAGCCCTGCCTTACCAGCTCTCTGCCCCTCTCTGAGTGTGGACCCTAAAGGGGGAGAAGGGATGCCAGCTGCACGGGGGAAATCCAAATCCAAGGTAAGTGGCAATTCCTGTTTCTTCAGGAACATCCCATCGTGTCTTGTGAGATGTGGACCATTTACTTACCTTCTGTGGAGACTTGTTGCCTATTGGAGGTAGGCATCCAACACCTAGCCCTTGGTTTTCTTCCATTGCCATGGGGGATGAGAGCCTGAGAAGGGCCCAGCAGCCAGGAAACTGCCCAGTGGGCCTCTCTCCATTCCCCAGTGTGCACATGGCCACTTGCCTGTTGGTTCAGTATTTCTAGGGGCTTTGCTAGTGCCGGGAGAAATGTCATCCTCTCTGGAGGAAGATGAGAGCCACTGTGATTTCTCAGCGTGGAGATAAATGCCCAGGTGGGGTCTGCAGTAGCAGAAGGGATTTGACATGTGCTCTGGAGTTAGTCTTGTTGTGTGGTTTTGTTTCTCCTTGTAAAACCCATATTTACATGGAGGAAATCTCTCCAGCTAAGGTCCCAAGACTCAGAGGCACCACATAGCCCTGCTATTCCATTGAGTGCATTGGTGGAGGCACTGAGGTGGTATGGGCAGCCTCCTGTGGTCAGCATGCTCCACCGCTGTCAGTCATCAAGTGGTTTTTACAACAGGCATTTCAAATGCAGTTTTCCATAACAAGCGTGTTTGCTTTCAGTTACGTGTATTAGTTCCCCCTTGCTGCTTTAACAGATTAGCTGCAAACTTGGCAGCTCAAAACAACACGTGTTTATTATCATGCAGTTTTGTGGTTGGCGTCCAGGCACAACGTGGTTTAGCTGGGTCATCTGCTTTGGAGTTTACAGGGCTGAAATCAAGGTGTCGGTCGGCTGTGTTCTCATTTGGGGCTGAGGTCCTTTTCCAAGCTTGCTGGTTATTGGCCAGATTCAGTTCCTTCTCACACTTTCCACCTGACCCTCATTTTTCATCTTCAAGACAGCAAGAACCAATAACCAACTGGCCAGGTCAAGTCCGAGATAATC